CATGTCTGCAAAATATTTTTGCTATGCCGCTCCAAATCGTTTCTTTGCTGTCAGCAGAAACAATAAAAGCGAAGAGTGCAAAACGTAAAATGTTTGCTATCTCTCTCTAGCGCTTGCCTTTCTGAGAGCTGAGAAAGCGTGGTGAATCAGCAGGTGCTCCTCCACTCAGCTGACGACGTCACCTTGTTAGTAATTTTACCATGCATGCAACTACTATTCTATTTTGAATGTGTGATGAAATGTGTATGTTATAGAATCTTTACATTCAATTACATCTTTTTTAGAAACAAACATGTCTGCAAAATATTTTTTGCTATGCCGCTCCAATGTTTACTTTGCTGTCAGCAGAAACAATAAAAGCGAAGAGTGCAGAACGTAAAACGTTTGCTATCTCTCTCTGAGAGCTGAGAGAGCGTGGTGAATAAGCTGGTTCTCCTCCACTCAGCTGACGACGTCACCTTTTTAGTAATTCTACCATGTACCATTCTATAGAATACCTTACTAATACATACAAGTATATGTACATATGTGCATTCCTACATATGGTTATGCTTAGAATTCAATAAGATAATCGATAAGATTTACCAATTTATTTCAACCGCAACCATGTACAAAGTCGGTTTTCGGGGTATATTTTGGCAATAACAGGAAAAGATAGATGGATATGTACACATGTATTTACATACTCGTATGTACATATTGAATACTACATACATATTTGCGTTTCCTCAAGAATTGTATCCCTAATCATAGATTCTCGTATGTTACTCTCCTCCCATCCTACAGTGGAACAGCTTCGACAGGGGTGGGTGGTGCTTCATGTCTTCGCGGCGATATACTTCTTCATATTGTTGGCCATTATATGCAACGACTACTTTCTGCCCACGGTGGAGTGCATCTGCGAGGACCTGCATCTGTCTAAGGACGTGGCGGCGGCCACCTTTATGGCCACGGCCACATCGATGCCGGAGTTCTTCACCAACACCATCAGCACCCTGATTCTGGAGTCGGATATGGGTCTGGGTACGATCATCGGCTCGCTCATGTTCAACACATTGGGCGTGGCTGGTTTGGCTGCGCTGTGTATTGACAAGGTATGTAATCCCCATGAAGGGGACACTTAAGTGATCTCATTCGCACAGAGCAGATTTACCAATCTACGCAATTTTACAGCCAGTTCAGCTGGACTGGTGGCCAATAGCGAGGGACTGCTTCATCTACATATTCAACACGATCATTCTGCTGGTGCTGGCCTGGGGTGGCAGCATTAGCTTCGTCGAGACCTGCATCATGATGGGCTTCCTGGTGCTCTACTATCTGATCACATTCAACAACAACAAGTTCATGCCAGCCATTCGCGTGTTCATCGAGGATCGCATGAACTGTTGCTTCTCCACGCGTTACGGTAAGTCATTCATGCATACATATGTACATATGTACATACAAATGCGTACATGAGTGTGGTCCATTTGTATCTTTTTTTTTGTATGACTTAAAGATTTGACGGAGCCCCCGGAGAACAGCGCCAAGGCACAGCTCCCGCTGAAAAAGGATCCCCTGTCGGGCGATGGCCTCTTCGTGGTAAACCTTCCCGAGAACACCTCCTCCATGTCGTCTACCGCGAATCTGACGCACTGTAAGCGCTATCCCTCGCTCCATACCTACTCTTTCTCAGGGAACTGTTTCTCTCTGTCACAGGGTACGGCGGTGACAGCGATGCCGACGATATCCCGGACAGCATCTACGCCTATCCCCACGACTCCTCCCGCTTCATGAAGGGCTGGTGGATATTCGTGTTCCCCATTCGCTTTACCCTTTCTTGGCTAATCCCGCACCCTATGAAGCATCGACGCCTCTATCCACTCTCCTTCATCATGTGCATCCTCTGCATCGGGGCCAACGCCTACCTGATTGTCTGGATGCTGACGGCTTTTGGCGTGGCCATCCACGTGCCAACTATAGTAATGGGTCTGACTTTCCTGGCTGCCGGCTCCACCATGCCCGAAGCCGTCTCCAGCCTGATATCTCTAAGGAACGGTAAGCGGAACGAGCCTATGTGCCGATCACAGCCTGATTACATTGTCCCCAACAGGTGAAAATGGAATCGGAGTCTCAAACTCGCTGGGCGCCAACTCGTTGGCCATTCTGCTGTCTCTTGGCGTGCCCTGGTTCATCAAAAACTGCATTCACTATGGAAGCGGGGAGCCGCAGCAGGTCGGCACACAGGGCATCGAGTACAACATCCTGATTCTAATCATTTCCACCGTGGCCCTCTTCGTAATACTCAGCTTCAGTGGCTACCGCTTGACCAAGCGGGTGGGCATCGCTCTCTTCAGCGTCTACGGCGTGTTCATTGTTCTCCAGATTTTGATCGAAATGAATGTGTTCTTCCCCAGGGACTGCAGCAGCTAGTGGTGGGTGCGTCGCGGTGTTACGTCTGTGCCATGTGCTTCTGGTGCTGGCATCAGCAGAAAAACCGACATTTTAAATTATAGGTTTCCCTTCATGGGGTGTTTTTTGTTTTTGTTTCTGTTTTCGTTGATTTCTTCCTTTCTAATTAAAGCGTCGATTTCTGCTCAAGACTGTCATTAGGGTGTAAAGCGAGTGCAGGAGGAAAGCTTCAACAGAAAGAAGGGAAACCACTAGCCCTGCAACTTTATATATATAACTGTAAATATCTGTTTTTTTTGTAAATATTTGTGTGTTGTTTAGTCCCATAGTTGTAGGCATATAACGATGACGATTCACAAAAGTTTGAACTGTTACCAAAGCACTAAACAATATACTAGGAATTAAGCGAAGTGAAGGAAAGTCCTCGAAACCAATCAAACCAAATGTTATAGCCTCATACAAACCTAGATGATCATGGTGCCCCACGATATTTCCAGCCTGCAGACCACAGCCTGAGTTCCGGGGTGCTCTGTCATTCTGCTGTTGATATTGCGCCAATAAGTGTTTAAAACACTAACAACTATTCTAGGCGTTACCTAAAGCCCTTGCCACTATTGTTATTAATTTATAAATAAATTCTAAGAACATTTTTACAAAGTGTGACTTTCGTTCGATGAGCTGATTGGGTGGGTGCTTGGGTGCTGTTCGGTTATGTTCCCATAAATACAACGAGGCACAAGCCATCGTGCTGAGCGTTAAATTCTCATTTGGCTGACCCAACCGAACCGAACAAACGTCAGTATCTCAAATGCTAGTAATGATAATTACATAAGAGCATGTCCAGCAGCCTGCTTAGGATTTTCGGACTCAACAACCGATAAATAAGATAACTGAAATAAGATTGCCAAGTACCCAAAAGAGGACATTTAATAATTGTCTGCGAAAGACAGATCTTAAATAAAGTTGAAACACGGCTCAAAAAACAATTTTTAAAACAGGAAGGGACGTGTGAGAAGCTTCTTACGTGTCAAAAGTGTATACCCGGCACTCAGTACTACATCTGCACCTTAGCGGTGTTTTGTCAAATTTTAAATTTGTTCTTCATCTGTCATCTACATCTACAACACTTCTCACACCAACACGCTCCTTTAGCTCGCCCCCTTCCCTAGACCCACACACTGCAGACTCGCGGCAGAGGCAGAGGCCGCTGACTAAAATAAACAACAAAAGCTGCTGGACAGGGTGGGTTTAGCCACCGCAAATTAATATCTTCATTGTGGCTATAATAATGATCCAATCGGAACCCAATTTGGTGATCTGGTAGATTTCGTCATTCCCTATGGAATGGCGTTTTTAGTTTTCTTTTATCTTCAAAATTGTTTTCGCCCTTTTTAGGGGGCAGGGCTCATTTTTGAAATACACTTGTAACAGTGGGAGCATACAGAAGTCTGGATTCAAAATTTGGTAGCTCTAGCTTTTATGGTCTCTGAGATCCAGGCGCTCAACAAGACGGACGGACAGACAGACATGGGTCTATCGACTCGGCTATTGATGCTGATCTAGAATATATAAAATTTATGGGGTCGGAAACGTTTCCTTCTCTGCGTTACATACAACCGTTATTCGCACAAATACAATATACCCTATTTACTCTTCGAGTACCGGTTATAAAAATAAATAATTACAACGAAATAATAGAACAGCTGTGATCGGTTTTCGTATTCGTTTCTTTTTAGAGGGGTTTAATTTCCTTCGCAATAGAGAGGGTTGGAATTTTCTAAAAGTTACATCACAAATCAGAAACAAATAAGTTGACAAATGAGATCAAACATTTTGCAGCTTACAAAGATACGTCGTACATATGCATAAATACAAATACGAATTTGAAAACATGTCTATACATACATACATGCATACATACATATGTATGTACATAAATACATACATAGATACATACATAAATATGTACATGAAAATACAGTGGAAAGAAAAGCTATTTTAAAGAAACAATCGTATTTTATGCTTGTTATTTTGAGGTCTTTGTCTTTTGGGAGCTTATATAATCCATCTTAGAGATATTTATATATTTATTAATATAGGGGGTTTCCCGCTTGAAGGGGAGTCTATGTTTTTTTTTCAGCTAAACAAAATTCAATTTTCAGTTTACTTTTAGAATTTCTTGCAGTCTCAGTTGGGTTGCAAAATGTCTTGAAGATTAGGGGGCTATAAAGGGCTAAGCGAATGCTGTCACAACGGACGTTTGTTTGTTGTATAATACAGAAATACTTAGAACTAGATACTTTCATTTTATGCACACACACATTTACAAAAATGTATGTATGTGTGTGCATTCAATTGGTATTTCCACAAATGCAACCCATGTACTACATGTACATACATTCATTTACATATATATATATATATACTCTATAGTAGGAATATATGTATATATAGATGAATGTATATAGATAGATATCAAGGAAGTTTTATAAACTTGCCACATACATATGTAACATCTGCCAATCTAGTCTCCTGTCCTCGGGCAGGGCATGCAAGGTGGTCTGCATGCCGTCTGCTTCCTTGTCTTGTCCTGTTTCTCCTTTTTTTTTAACAAATCAGTCTGAGCAATTACAATTCAATATGCGAATGCGAGCCGGCAACTTTAAGCTGCTTCCTAACAACCTGTCGAACCAATTGGCACAAATTACAATAAATATTCACATCAATATTCATACATTTAACGACGACGGTGATGCACCACTGATCAGTGTGCACACAAAAAACTGAGCAGGTAACACAACGCTAAGCTAAGCAGCATCTCCCAGCCTTGGGTCTGGAAAATCTTGAATTTGCTGATTTTACCCTGGCCATTAGGTGCAGCAATGGTGTCCGTTTTTAACGTAGTAATTGTGCATGGCTGCAGTGCCGTTCCTGCTATAGCTGCCGTTGCTTCCGTTGTACATGTTGCTGGTTAGGTCTAAATCAGCGCCGGCATTGCCTTTCCCACTGAGGCCTCTTCTGACTCCAGAGTCGTAGGGGGAAGGGAACGGTGATGCATTGGCAGCGTTGCTGTTGTCGGTGCTGATGGCCGCATCAAAAGCTTTAATTGGATTTTGTATAATTTTGCATGTGAACTGGCGGTGGGGTCCCGGCTCCTGGTGAAGTGAGCAAACTTTAGATGGATGGCTTGGCTTGACAATCAGATCAACCACTTACCTTTGGCTGGATGGGAAAGCAACACCAGAGTATGAAAGCAATGAATGCTACCAACGTACCGACAAGCAGTATGAAGTCCTCGATTGTCTACACATCGACAAAATCAATGTACGATATCAGTCTCACGTACATATCCATATACACATGTATGTCACACACACGGATGCACTTTTTTATTGTAGTGAATGTTTTAATATGCAGGTCTTACTTACCGGCTCTTCGCCAAGCAGAACATGATTAATTAAATACACAAAGTCATCGAATGGTGTCATTGCGAAGCTCCGCTGTTAATCAGTTTAAACTTTGCTTGGGGTTGGGTGCGACGTTCGGACGACATTAACAGCGCCTGCTGCTACGGCTATATCTGTTGGTCCTTACTAATGTCGCAACACGACAGAAAACAACATATTTTCACACTATAAACAAACAAAGATCAAAATCACCATAATTAAACATTACTTTTCTAGTTTTTAAATCGTAGTTATATTTATTCTACTCGGCTGCTACCCAACACATTGAGATGGACATTTGGCGCGATGTTGTGCTCTATCGACTAGTATCGATTAAAAGTATCATGCAGCTTCAAATTGACATGGTCAGTGGAGTGACCAGACCTAGAGGTAGCTTACATTCGTTTTGGCCGATGAGATGACATATCGATTAGCCCAACATCTGATATAGGAGAGGAAGTGCCATCACTATCCATATTTCAAAGCCATTTAGTGTGTTTTTGTTAAAATTTGTGACTTTATAAATAACAGCAATGGGCAAGAAACGTAGCACACCCAGCGACCAACAAGAAAATACCGGAAGTAGCGATGAGGTGTCCAAAGTGTCAGAAAAGATTGCGACTGAACCCGAGACTAGAAAACGAAAAGAATCACGGTACAGTTCGAGTTCATCATCCAGCAGCAGGAGCAACAGCAACAACGACGTGTCGAACTCCTCATCGGGCAAACAGCAAAAACTTACTAAGAAAGCTAGTCGCAGCACAGAAGGCGCTGAAGAAATACATGAAAAACGGATCAGAAATCAGACGTATCCAAACAGCCAGAAGGTGCATGAGCAACGCTCAAAGTGGGACAGTCCCGACCGTGGGAACGGCGGTCAACGTCACAATTCCCATAGAAACATAAAACAACGTAGAAACAGTCGTAGCTGCTCACGAGAGCGCGAAGGGGATAGAAAGATAGAAAGAGAACGCCACCGAGAAAGCGACAACCGTGACAATCACATGCGCCGCGACCGCAGCCGACGGGATCAAAGGAAGCGTTCGCCTGTGCAACGACAACGAGCACGCAGCAATGAACGGAGGGAGCGACCGCGGCGTTCCCCCGAAAGACGTACAGAGCGGCAAGTACATGTGCACCATCCACCGAGACGCCCCTTAAACATTTTAGCATTTTTTTTCAGGCATAGCCGCAGTCCCCGCGATCGACCAAACAGAGAACGACTCTTTGCGCGTCGTAAGGAGCAGCGCCGCGAAAATCGTGGCCGTGGAGACGACGAACACTTTGAGTGGGGTAGGAAGGGCGATGACAAGGAGCAGCCGTATGAGGAACCTATTGAAAAGGAGAAGCCCAACTTCGGCCTAAGTGGAGCCCTCACCGAGGAAACCAACAAAGTTAATGGAGTTGTCGTCAAATACTCAGAACCAGTCGAGGCTCGCAAGCCGAAGCGTCGCTGGCGCCTGTACCCGTTCAAGGGCGAAACAGCATTGCCTACGCTGCACATACATCGCCAAAGCTGTTTTATAGTGGGCCGCGACCGCAAGGTGGTAGACCTGGCGGTAGATCATCCCAGTTGCTCAAAGCAGCATGCAGCTCTGCAATACCGGCTGGTGCCCTTTGAGCGTGAGGACGGCAGCCAGGGAAAGCGTGTACGTCTCTACCTAATTGACCTGGAATCGGCCAATGGAACGTTCTTAAACAACAAGAAAATAGATGATCGCAAGTACTACGAACTAATGGAGAAGGACGTCATCAAGTTTGGATTCAGCTCTCGCGAGTACGTTCTGCTCCACGAAAACAGCAAAGAGGACCAGGAGGATGATGACGTGCATATCAAAGAAGAGCGTTTGGACGTACATACTAGCTGAGGAAGTTAATCCCTAGAGCAGCCAGTACGCAATTTCGCTTTGTTCCTGCCTCCCCTCGGCTATTGTCTCGGTTCATAAATTTACGACACGCGCGGGCATTTGACCCGTGTTAAATTTTACCCCTTCATCATGCACGATTTTTATTTCTCGCACCTTGGCTGAGATCACTGTACATTTAATGAGATAACACGATCTTGCATGCCCACTGCCAACATACTCATAAATAAAAATCAAAACGAAAAATCTGAATTTTACCTACCCAAAATGAACAAAATGTAAATCATCAAATCTAAAGCGACAGCAATACGAGAAGATGTCAACCCGAAAAGTGCTAGCACCAGCAAATAACTCAACTTTACGACTCGAAGCGTCGGCTTACCAGCCTACAATGCCAGCTTTCAATGTGTGTTTGAACCCGAAACGGGCAACAGTATGAGGTGGCAGCTCCCAATTTTGCTGCTTGGCTTGGCATTTGGCACTGCCCACCGGCTGCGTCGTCAGATAGTTGCACCCACCTGGCTAAGGGATCCGATTCGTTTGCCCGCCTTGCAAGCATCCAAGGTGGTAGTGACGCCGCAAAACCTGCAGGAAACCGCTGCTATACGCGCAGCAATACAAAAGGCCGTCGCAGAGGACACTTATGTAGTCGCTGCTCGTCCTCCGCCGGTAAGTAGAGTTCCAGTCCTAAAGTCTCACATATGTATAAGGCAAACATTGTTTACATCGAATACATATGTATGTATGTATGTATGTTTGTACATGTGTATCTTTATATGTACATACACAACTATGGAAAAACACGATCTATTCAGTTTTATGGTCTCACATCTCGAGCCGTCATTGGGGCAGTTTGTAATCTATGCATTAACAGTCTTTATTCCCTCGCCAGGAGCTTTTGACATCGCTTGGGAGCGGGAGCATGATGCCAATGCTGTTGCTTGCTCCAGCAACGCTGAACCAAACATGGAATCCAACGCTGCCAATGTTGGGCATGTTCAACCTCTGGTCCGCCATGGTCGGCTAAGCGTTTTTGACAGAGTCACAACTCGAATTTATAACTCCATTGATTACAAAATTACAATATTTAAAGTAATATGGACATATCTTAATATGTATGTACATATATATGCAGACGTATACCTAGAGTTTCCGAACCGCAGACGAGCACTCATCGATCGAAAACTTGAGGAAGCCTGAGCAAATTCGAGCTGCGCCTCTTGAGAACCTGAAAGGATTAATGATTAGTAATAATGATTCGGGTTTGGTCAAACTGCTAGCACTAACTGAGATTGTTTTTGCACAGTTTGAATGTTGTTTTCAATCAAGTGAAAAAAAACGAATATCAGCATCAGGTTTTAAAAAATGTCATATAAGGAATTACTACAGTACGAACAGTTCTAAAATGTGTCTAGCCTTTGGTATATCGTGAGAGAATTATAAATCTCTCTAAAAACTCTTTCATCTGTACAAAAAGTCCTATTAAATAATTACTATCCATTGTTGTTTAGCTCTATAATATAGAGTCTGTATGCAAGCTCACTACATACATACATATGTATGTACATATATCAATAATTAAAAAAAAATTGCTCTAAAGTATATTTTTGCATGTATGTACTTATGTATGTATGTATGTACATACTAGAGTGTGTCTTTATGTGTTGTATGGGACCGTAAATCAAAGTTAATTACATATGAATAACATTTAACAATTATTGTGTGAATTGTATTTTTATAACTAGACCATTTACTACATATATGTACATACATATGTACATACTACAGAGTATATGCACATATATACATATCAGCACATAAGTTCATACATATAAGCACATATGTACATATAAGCACATATGTACATATAAGCACAGATGTACATATATTATTTCTATACGCAATATATAATTTAAAAATATTTCTGCGACATGTGTTTGTGTCTTTAGAAATTTTGTTCCCTTTTTAATGAAAAACGAATTCTAACTAGATCCTAATGATTCGATACATTAATATATGTAAAACAAACAATATGTTGTAAAACAAAACGTTTCCAAATGCTATGGTCGAATGAATGTCTGAATACTTGTGAAATCTCTTCTATCATAATTTTTTTAGGGAAGAGTACAAAATACGCACATAAACATATCCACATACAAATGTATAAAATTTATACATTTATACTATAAATGCATGTAAGTGCTGCCTGCCATACACAACCTGTTGGCAAACGGATGGTCTGTTCCGAACTGTGAAATATGAATAACCTTGGCAAGCTTTGGAATTTCCATCTCATAATCGATCTAAATATTCAGATATACATACATATGTACAAGCAGACAGACATATAATCGAACATACATATGTACAGCTCGGTAACTGTACAAGAGTGCACTGAATTACGACTGGCACTGGCGGGCACAAAAAACAATGAGAGCTTAATACAATACAGTTGGCTTTTCGCTTTCGTTTTATACATATGTATATGCATGCATCTACATACATGCGATTGTACATGTATGTAGCTTACGGGGTCGAAGAGCTGCCGAAACAGTGCACACATATGTAAGTAAGTACATATGCATGCAAGGCGTCTCCTCAGAGTGAATTAGGTGATGTAGCACTTGGGTGCTTGCATGAAGTAACTATAAGGAGGTCTCTTCGGTGGCAGAGTTACTCGTTCCTTCTGCTTATTTTCAGTGCTCGTTTGCGTGTCGAAGCGTGCAATATTTTTTTAAATTTTTTCAAAATGTTTTTTTTTTTAAACAAAGACTACTATCATCTAGCAAACTATTAAAAATTTAATTATGAAACAATTATGTTTTTTCACATTGCCTTCAAATGGTTAATCAGCACACTCCATTGTCGTTGCCCTTACACTTGCAGCGAGAGCCCTTTCACTCGCACTTTTCACTCGCACGTTCAGCTTATTTTTGCCGACGAGGCTTCCTTATATAGTTTCTTCATGGGTCCTTGTCGCAGACCCCAGAGGGTAATGCCGTTTTTGTTAGTTTCCGTCTGTCCGAGTGCGGTCCAAACAGCGACACCTGCCTTTAGGTCTGTTATTGGGCCAGAATAGAACTACCCACGAAACTAGCACAAAAAGTGGCTAGTCGCATTGTTGCTTCGATCTTGGCCTTGAAGCAGTATAATAAGCGAAAAACGGTAAAATGATGATAATGAAAACTACAAATATCAGTTAATAACACACAAATGTTTCGTGGAATAATAAATAAGTATGGGGGTTAAATTTCCATTTCAACTTCGACTCAAGCAGCAAGGAACGACATTTAGCTTGGCTGTGGTCAGGCCTGAACGATTTCGATTGTTGTCCTTGGTCGGTCTATTATCTCTTCGGATGCTGCGGCAGATGTTTCTATGCATGGCCCATTAGATGTGTGCAAAATGTGCATGCATACATGGATACAAGTATGTACACATGGATATCTGTCTTATCTAACCTCGTCGATGTCCTCGCCCTCTGAGGAGCTGCGAATCGTATTGTACTGAGAGTTGCGGCTGCGCAGCATGCGCAGGAAGCTGCCCACGGCGAAAATGGTGCGGCGATGTCGGTGAAAAATTCCCTGATATAAGGCATCTCGTAGCGTTTTCCGATCTTCTACGTCCACCGACGACGTCAATGATGTTTGATGTTGCACACGTGCTGCGAATACACAAAATAAATACGACTAATTAGTGATAAGAAGCGTACGTTGATTACGGCTCCATCAATATACAGTGCTCTCCAACTAAATTGCCTGTAACATAAGTCACGAAAAGCCATCGGATTCCAATCGTCTTTCATTACCCTATTTAATTTTGAATTGAGCAAAATACGGCAAATGCATGAGGGTATGGCTGCAGAACGTTTGGAGTAATAATGATAAGTCGCCTGGATGCTGATGGTGTCACTCTCTGAGACCCTCCATTTGTATTTTTATACCCGGTACTCAAAGAGTAAATAGGGTATATTTTATTTGTGGGGAATAACGGTTGTATGTAACGCACAGAAGGAAGCGTTTCCGACCCCATAAAGTATATATATTCTTGATCAGCATCAATAGCCGAGTCGATAGAGCCATGTCTGTCTGTCCGTCTTGTTTGTCAGCTCGTTCTCAGAGACTATAAGAGCTAGTCACCAAATTTTTTTTGTGTGAGGGCGCTGCCTCTGCCTCTACCGCAAAGTATTAAGTTGAGTGGCACTGTGTAAGTTTTAATATTCCTACAAGGTAAGGTACGCTCTGGCGCAACTCGAATGCATATATACAAAAGATTGAAAGGAAACATAAAGAGAATCTTAACCCAGTTTCTTTCTATACTTATGTATCATCAGTTGTTTGGGCCAAACTAATTCTCACAACCGGCATACATACAGTAAGCACACATATTAATTCGTACACCATCATCACCCTAGTTTGAACACCTATAACTTGGCGTACGGTCAACGTAAACAGAAAAAGTTAATTTTGTATAAATTTTATTGATTATTATTGTATTGTATTATTGTATCAATAAAATTTTTGTATGACTAAAGATCAACATATTTACTAAATGTTTATGAAAAAAGTTTTTAATAATCTTCTATAGTATTCTTATAAAAATAACCTTAAGCAAAAATGTAATTTTTTTCGCACATTAATTATTCCTACAATTATTCCTAAAATATTAAAATATATATTATTAAAATATTAAATGACTAAAAGCACTAAAAACAATCTTTCCCCCAATGTGTTGGTGTCCCACGAATTAAAATTGACCCCCTTCCACAATCAGTACCGGTTGCAATAGCTCCCTCGATACAATTTTGGGCTTCCGTATCCTTTTTTTACAAATTTTGCCACCAGGCTTCATGGAACTCAAGTTTACTAACCGTAGTGAAATTTTCAGCTGGTTGCAGTTTTAAATGAGCCAGATTTGATAAAAAAAAAGATTAAATTTTGTGTTGTTTTATGGGATGGGTCAAGTTTGACTTCGAATTATGACCAAATGGAATGAATGACACGTGGATGCCAATTGTCACTCAAAATATGGTTAAATACACCCTTTTTCACATTTCCATTAAATAAGACCATTAGTACAGCTCCAGTTAAAAAACGAGAAGGGACGTGTGAGACGCTGCTTACGAGTCACAACTTTTATACTCGGCACTTAGGACTACATCTAGATGTAGAAGACATCGCCAACCACTAGATATCGTTCAAATAACAGAACACGTAGTAAAAAGCCTACTAAATAAAATGCACCAAAAAAATTGGATCAGTTAATCGTATTTTCCAATTTATGAGACATTTAAAACAGCAATAAAATTTGTACTTTTTCCCTGCACATTCTGTGCAATAATGACCGCTAGGTTTCACAGCAGATTTTACGAAAGTTGCGCCATCTATGAAAATTTCTTATACGCAACTTTGATGGTCACGCTTTTTCTAATACAGAGCGTTAAAAACCGAGTCTTGGTTTTAACTTTTAAAAATTATTTTTTGGCCACTGTTTCCGCAACTCCTCGCAACCAGTTCAGAATCAAAATCTCGAAATAAAAAGCCAAGTGCTGCTGTTCGACCGAGTCGGAATTCAAATCAATTTAATCTCTTCTTCTTTTCAATTTCGATATTTACCTATTAAATGCATGTTCTTCCTCTTTCTCTATCATATTCACATATCACATGTATGTTCTATGGCAACAAGCTTCTGTCAGTATGTCGTAAATGCAACAATTCAATAGCTTAATGCTACAAATTCATTTTACTTATACAAAACACTAATTGCTCCGGGCCATAATTAGGCTAACTGGCGTAAACAGCCACCAAAACTGGTCATTGTGACAATAGTGCATCTGCACCTCAGCGGTGTTTTGTCAAATTTTAAATTTTTTCTTCATCTGTCATCTACATCTACAACACTTCTCACACCAACACGCTCGCCGCCCTTCCCAAGACCCTCATACTGCAGACTCGCTGCAGAGGCAGACGAAGCGATCGCACAAAAAAAAAAACAAATATAAGCTGTGGGACGGGGTGGTTTAAAAGTAGGAAGAAGCATCGACAGGGGGAGGGCAGAGGCAGGGGCCGAGTGAAGCAGATGCAGAGTGTGAATGAGAGAATGTAAAAAGAGCAACAAAAGCTGCGGGACAGGGTGGGTTTAGCCACTGGAAATTAATTTCTCCATTGTGGCTATAATAATGATCCGATTGGATCCCATTTGGTGATCTGACAGTTATGGCCAATTCCTACGGAATGGCGTTTTTAGTTTTCTTTTATCTTCAAAACTGTAAATTTGGGAAATACATTGGTTTCAGTGTGAGCATACAGCAGTCCGGAGCCAAAATTTGGTGGCTCTAGCTTTTATGGTCTCTGAGAACTAGCCGACAAACAAGGCGGACAGAGAGAAATGGATCTATCGACTCGGCTATTGATGCTGATCAAGAATATATTTACTTTATGGGGTCGGAAACGCTTCCTTCTGTGCGTTACATAAACCGTTATTCCCCACGAATACAATATAACCTATTTAGTCTTCGAGTACCGGGTATAAAAAACAACACAGGTGAAACACTAGGCACCCTCCGAAATGCCATACAGCAGGGACCACCATTTTCTCATCATAGGCTAAATGTATTTTCGCAAGTCCAAAAAATAAAAAAAATGTCTTACATGGACTATCTGGTCAAATCGCATTCTCTAGAAATTAATCTGGGCATGGGTTTCTCCAAAAGTCTTCCGGAGGTCATCGGAGGGTGCCCAGTGTTTCACCTGTGTTGTTTTTGAGCTGGAGCTGTACGAATGGTTTTATTTAATGGAAATATGAAAGAGGATGTATTAAACTATATTTTGAGTAACAATTGGCATCCATGTGTCTTTATATTTAGTCATAATTCGAAGCCAAACTTGATCCAGAAAAAAAAATTACACAAAAATTAATCTTTTTTGGATTAAATCTGCCTCATTTAAAGCTGAAACTAGCTGAAACTTTCACTACGGTTAGTAATCTTGAGTTCCATGAAGCCTGTGTAAAAAATATAAAAAAGGATACGAAAGCCCAAAATTTCATCGAGGTAGTTATTGCAACCGGTACTGCTTGTGGAGGGGGCTCATATTAATTCATGGGGCACCAATACCTTGGGGGAAAGATTGTTGCTAGTTCTTTTAGTCATCATAAAGACTAAATGTAGCAAACAAAAATGTTCATTGTACATGTTACCTTTAATATTTTAATTTCAATCAAAGAGACGGACGGCTGTACGAATAATTTATGTGCGAAAATATTGCTTCAGTTAATTTTTATAAGGATACTATAGAAGATTATATAGTAAATATGTTGATCTTTGATACAAAATTAACTTTTTCTATTAACGTTGACCGTAGGCCAATTTATAGGTGTTCAAACTAGGGTGATGATGGTGTACGAATAATATGTGTGCTTACTGTACATAGTCCTCAATTTTGAAGTAGCGACCGAGTGGGACATGTGTGTTTATATATGTATGTATGAATATATATGTATATATTCTTCATGTATACTAACCAGCTATGGGCGACTTGGGCGACCTAAGTGAGTACTCGTCCAGGCTTTTTCCACTCAGATCTAGATTTAACACCTTTTTAGTCAGCTGTTGGGCGGCGAGCTCCATTTCAGCGGTCTTCTCGGTCTTGATGTCTACATTGCGCTGGCTAACGGCGCTTTTTGTGGAAACTGTGGCCACTACCGCTTTGAGAGAATCGCTGCTTTTCCCCTTGCCGGCATCGGTCATGTTGTCGTTCGATTTAGCGGGGACAGGCGTGTTGTTGTTGGCCTCTGCCTCCTGGAGAGTCGTCTCAGCCGTCTTATCAGTATTATTGTTATTTGAGCCCGAAGCTTGTGTACTGCTTGAGCTGGGTGCCTCTAATTCCGCAGATTCAAGGCTGCTCTTTTCTAAGACCTCGACGGCAGCAACAGAAACAACCATTGTTTGAGCGCGAGCCTCGGCCAAGACGCAGTTTCGCTTCGCAAATCCGTTTGCCGCTTGTTGTTGCTTGTTTGTCGTTTGCATATAAACTATTTCCGCTGACGTATGGCGATTCGGCTTCGCTTTGTGTGGTGTACCCTCTTTTTTCTTTCGCTCTGGCTCCGTTTATTTTTGATGAGTTTGTGGGGATTGTTTGCCCAGCCCACCTTTGTTTTGTATTTTTAGTTAAGTATCGTATCTGTTTTGTTGGTTATGTTGGCGGTCTGGCTTCTATGGCTACCTGCAAATGATTGGCTGGCGGCAATATTAAAACTCGCGCTGTAATGCGCCACCTTGTGGGTGCAGTCGGTAAGCGTGATTTGCGGTAGTCTGAGCTGTGGACTATCGACACCTATACTATCGCTCAAGCTGAGGTGGCTTAAGTTATCGATGATCTCGAAAAGTTTCAGCTGATCCAACGTGGTTGTTGTTAGTGCCGCTGTTGTACTCCTCTGATTGTTGCTCTTTAAACGACGCTGCTGCTGGCTACGATGCTGTTTATACAAATCACACATTATCCTGGAAGCCAGCCCAGCTGCGTTTTTTATTTCCGATCTAAATTCACCTGCGACTGCTTCCCCAGCATTTGAATCGTATGCTACTAGTTTCAAGGGCCTTATATGCACGCTGATGGGATCTGGCGGAAAGCCTTTCCAGCGCTTCTTAGAATGGCTGGCCGCCTTACTCTGCAATCCCTTCAGTAGCGTAAACAGTCTGTCAGTCAACTTCTGAACTGCTGATTGCCGCTCCCACGAACTGTCGACTGTGTCCAATACCAAGCGAGGCGACGACAAAGAGAACTGCGATTGCAATTGCGGCGTGTGCCTTATTGCATTACGCTGGCCAATCGATTCCAAGTACTTGAGGTTGGCGTTCAACCCTCTGTCGTAATATCCGCTGGCCAGTTGCAAATACGTGTAGAAGTCCACTCCCCCTCTGTGGGGGTGTCGTTGTAGGTTTTCCACCTGGTTATTATAAATATTTAAATTATAATTGACGTGACTTCTGCGGTTGCTGCTTCTGCCATTGTCATTGCTATTGCCGTTGCCGTTGCCTTTGCCGTCTTCGTCGTCTTCTCCACTGACTTCGTCATCATTGCGTGTCCTCGTGTTGCACCGATATCGCTTCCCAATGCTGCCAAGCTGCACAAGCTTCTTTAGCTGGTCGAAATGTTGGGCACTCTTAATTCTGCGCACTGCGTCATTGTAGGTCTCTTCGGGCGGTTGACCTGAGCAAATTGTTACCCGTCCACGGGCTGCATACGTATCGTCAAATCTGTAATTATTGGAAGCACCACAATAAAAACAGATAAGCAATTGTAGATACATGCATGTGCATATGGATGTGAAAATATTAAAGCCAAAGCACGTACAATTTACTGAGCGTTTGCTGTGGCAAATCGCGGCCAGTCTACACTCAGATTTCATGCGCTGGAAGCCATGCTAAGCCAAGGCCGTGTTACTCGAGCTATGAAGAAATTTAATATGAGCCACAATGAGCCCGGATCTTCCTCACCTCTGTCAACCCAAGCTATATTTATGGCTGCAACTGTGCAACAGATTCTCCACCCTGCCGCCTACACATATACATGCTCCATGCACACGAAACATGCAATCAAATTACCGTATTACGATGGGATGTATATAGATCTACCTTGGGAAATACTGCACAGGGGTGGGCCACACATCGCGCAGTTTCGCATACGTTGGCGCTGCTAATGAGATGGACATTCTAGATACCTCCGCTGCTAATCCTAATCCTGCTCCCCCACTGCACCACTGTCGACGACGCCTTCTTTGGGAGCGGTGTCGGCGGGCTAGCGGATGCTTCTGATGGAGATGCAGGTGCTGCTGTATCTGGTAGTCGCGATAGTGATTGCCGATCTCATGACGGTAGCGCTCTGTGCGAAAGCACTTGGTATCGAAGACGCGTCGCATGGTCAGCCGGGGCGAGTACCTGTTGCCCGTGCGAAGCGGAACACCCACAACCACCAGGGCACAAGCTGTCTTTTGAACTGTCCCCATGGACATGGCTGAGAGGCTGCGAGAAGCCGCGAAATTGACATCCATGCAGACAGTTCAGAGCGACAAAAACAACATGACAAAGGAAAAAGTTAACCCGTGCCACAAGTCGAACTAGCCCGCCGGAGGCAACAAAGCGAACTACGGGAATTCACATAGATGAGCCTGCCATTGTTATAAGGAGCGGGAGTACTCTCCCGAATTAGGGGATGACGGAGTTTTCTTTGGTTTGGTTGGGTGCTTTAAATGATGTACCTGCATTTATGGAATAACTCTGTAAGCAACAACGTTTGCGGTTATTTGTGATCCCGTCAGGCCGCGATTTGTTGCCGTTTATTTGACATCGAAATTAAATGGAATAAAATTATGAGCGCAGTGCCGACCCCAGCCCAGTACCATAGTTCAACCCACTTCAACTCAAAGCAAACACAACCCAAGCAAACCCTACCCCACCCGTGATTCCCTTACTTAATCGGAATCATTTAAGTTAAGTGGATGTGGGTGGTTCTCAGTAACAAAACTATTACGAGTAGTGTTCATGTCGTTAACTATTGTAACTGGCACGTTTTAGGAGCCCCTGCCCTTGCCACGCCACTGGCACTGCTTCCCACTACCTGCCTCCATCCGACCCATTTGAATATTTCGACTCACGATAAGTAACAATAAAATACGTCAATAACAATGACAAGAAACGATAGACAAGCGAGAGGGAACGTTGCGAGTCGCTGAAGTGGCCGCGAATCTACTTGCATACCTGGTGGGCAGTCAATTTAAAATATATATTAGCTGTATGGTATACATTTTTCCGGAACATTTTTCATCAACTTCCCTCAACCTCATCTATTTACATATACCGGTTTTCACAATACAGAGTGTGTGAGAGAGATAAATGATAAGTGGCGCTTGGAAGGGAAGCGGAAGCACTTACTCTAATATTGATCTGCTCTGAGGCAGATTTGTATAAATATCTGTTATATATGGTAGTTTTATCTGATAATTCACTTTTGGTTTTATCGTATCCATGCCTGCATGAAATTAAGGGGGCGAAGTTCGGACATGAACATTTAACAGTGTGATTTCACATAAGCCAGAATGAACGATAAGGGACGTGTGAGACGCTTCATATTCGTCACAACTTTTATACCCGGTACTCAGTAGTAAATCTGTACCTTGGTGGTTTTTTCAAATTTAAAATTTTACATTTTTATTACTGGTACTCGTAGAGTAAATAGGGTATTATGTATTTGTGGGGAAAAATGTAACACACAGAAGGAAGCGTTTCAGACCCCACAAAGTATAACTATTCTTGATCAGTATCAATAGCCGAGTCGATATAGCCAGCCATGTCTGTCTGTTCGTCTTTCCGTCTTGTTTGTCTGGTAGTTCTTAATTTTGCCTGCAGACTGCTGTGGTATCACACTGATACTAGTGCATTTAAAAAATACCTGAACAACACCTTAAGTGCGCCGAATGCGCATACAAATACACAAACAACGAGTAGGAACGCGTCACAACTTTTATATTAGGTACTCAGTATTTCAAAATTTCGCACCAAACGAAGCAGAGTGGTGAATGAGTGAAAAAAAAGGTGCTGGACGGCGCAGCCACTGAAAATTAATTTCTTCATTCTTGCTATAATGAGCCAATCGGATCCCAATTCGGCGAGCTGATAGATATGGTTATTCCCTACGGATTTCGGATATTTAGATTTATTTTTTCTTTAATATTGTGGATTTCTATCTCTAGCTTTTATAGTCTCTGAGAACCAGCCGCTCAACAAGACGGACGAACAGACGCACAGACGGACAGACGTACAGACGGACAGGCAGACAGACATGGATCAATCGACTCGGCTATTGATGCTGATCAAGAATATGTATACTTTATGGGGTCGGAAACGTTTCCTTCTGTGTGTTACATACATTCACTTTGAGCACAAATACAATATACCCTATTTACTCTTCGAGTACCGGGTATAATTATCATCAGACCATTTCGAAACTGGCACGGTACTGTCTGCATCCCCAATTTTATGAGAGAAATTGTTGAGAATCATTATGACCAGAATGAAGAACGTAGTGTCCTTAATGCTCAGTATTCCTGGCATCTACGACAAGAGCTAAGGCCTTTCGAGATTAGTGATACCACTAAGCAAGCAACTCATAGAGTGTTAAAACGTGGTAAAAACTGGCTGCCTAATCAGTTTAGTGGATTGGTTTCCTTATAGTTTCTTCATGGTCGAGAAAAGATACAGGCATTGCCATCATGTATGTATGTACATATGTGCATAGCGCAACTATATAAGGAGGTCTCGTAAGAAAAAGTTAGGAAAATGTGCGAGTGAGAAGTGCGAGTGAAAGGGCTCTCGCTGTAAGTGTAACGGCAACGACAATGGAGTGTGATGATTAACCATTTGAAGCCAATGTGAAAAAACATAATAATTGTTTCATAATTTAATTTTTAATAGTTTGCTACATAATAGTAGTCTGTGTTTTGAAAAAATAAACATTTTGAAAAAATTCGAAAACAATTTTGTCCGCAACCAACCTTCCGCGTCGACAAGCAAACGAGCACTGAGCACAGCCCATACCGATCATCGGGTATGCTGTTTAATTAAATTCAATTGATTTCGAAGTAAATACAAACATACATATGTTTGGCTTTGCTTTTGTTCTTGGCTTTGACAGCATATGGTCAAAGTCGCGTACTCTCAGCTGAAGCATTGGAAGTTGCACCTATCTGAATATATCGCAGTATTTATCACTATTTGTTTGCCATAATGTTCACAATACAAATCATTGGCGTACGAGTAATTCCACAGAAACGTGCGCAAGCCCTAAAGAACACAACTGCGCTCAAATGTAGGCAACACAGCTTTTGTAGGAACGGGGTAAGTGACAGGGACTATCCTGGCGTCAGGAAAGTGGCTAGGGCCACTTTTACATATGTATGTGAGTGGGAAGGATATACTCAATTAAAACAAGTTTAGGACAGTACGGTCTGTTAATGTGTCTTTTCCAATGAGTGACATGCACTTGCCGGTGCATTTACATACATATGTGAACATACATATGAATGTACATATATGGATATGTACATATGTATGTATGTATTTATTTATTTATGTGCATGCAAGTGGGTACACCCGTGAGCACAATGCTAACAGCAAAGGTTTCCATTTTGACATAAAGGCCAGGCACTAATGTGTGACACACTTAATTAATATCTGTTAACAATTATCCCACACAAGTATGTATGATGTATGTACATACGAGCTATGTACATATGTGATATATAAACAAACATAAAGCTCAAAGAACGAGAGGACCTCGCATGGTGGCCGTTGTGCGCATATGTATGTATGTATTTTGTATGTACAGCAGCCGCACTTGCAACGGCGCCAACGAACAAACGAGAAAGTGAAAATGCGTTGAAGAGCAACAAAGCAAACAAAAAAAGTCACAATAAACCGTATTGATTGCTTACCAAGAATGCGAATGTACCGTTATCGCTTAGCCGACGTCGTACCCACAACAGCTGGTCGGTCCAACTCTTGTTGTCAGCTAAGTATGTTCGTGTGTAAAAGCAAGCGGGACTCGTTGTTTTTGTACAAATTTGTCACTTATTTGTCCCGCTATGGCCAATCCTAACTTCCTTACCCACGTACAGTTCAAGACGAAAAATAATTTTAATAAATAACTCCAGGCGCTTTATTCCCTTTTTGTTATTGAATGGTATAAATGAGTTGATTGGCACCAGTGTGACCGCGCAGTTATCGATCAAATATACCGCACGACCCTCAAAAGTATACAGAAGTTCTCATTTTCAAAACATACAGCATATATTCCGTAATCTTAAACACTAAAGCCTAGCACTCAGATCGAAAACAAAACTTGCTAGCAAAATGTGCAATATATTTTGGTAGCAGCAGAGTGTCAACAGAGATGAAAACTGCATTCCGTACGGTTACATTTCTCAGGAAGCCGTTTGGTTTTTTTGTTTGCCTTTTTGAACATGTGTGAAAATTGAATAAAAGGTTAATAAATCAATGAAAGCAAAATGGATCCATGCATAACTTTGCTTTTAGTGGGATTGGCGGCTCTTGCATGATCGGAGGAGGAGGACAATCAACGAAATAAGCGACGAAAACTTTGATTAAACCCATATCTGCAGGAAAGAAACCAGAACGGTCGTTTGTCTATACATTTGAGTATTATAACTCATATAAATATGTGTACATTTATGGAAACCTATGAAACGATACCCTTTTCATATTCCGCAGTTTGAAAATATTACAGAGAATTTGCATATGTCTGGGAATAACATCTGCAGACTTTTTTGATTGGTGGAGCAGCAAGGCCGTGCCAAGGAATATTTGCATCCGTTGCAAAGTTGTTAAACGGCACCTCCAAGCCCCTTCCTATTCAAAATTGGATAGTTTCGAGCCCAGATTGTCGCCATCGCCCCTTGGCACGACCCTGTGGAGCAGTACTTGGTTCCAAAAGGCAAACAACTTAAAACTAAAAACATGGCAACAATGCCACTGAAGTTGGAAGATAAATGAGCAGCGTGCTTTTAAACGAGCTTCGGGCCATCAAACGTCAAAAATAAAAAACAATTATTATAGATTAATGAGTATTTTCATGTTGCCAAGAAACAGACCCGGCTGGGCTGTTAACAAAATGGTTTCATTTTTTTTCCTTTTGGGACCATGTACTGCTCCACAGGGTCGTGCCGTGGAGGGGTGAAGGCGGCGATTTGGAATTTGGATTTAGAAAAAAGAGTTGTTTGCCGAAGGAACGATATCATGATATTTTGGCAGCAAAATAATACGATATAAAAATATTTTTATTTTGAAAATATATCGATATATTGATATTTCTATATACGTTTGACAACCTTACACTGGCTTGCTGTTTGCAGTTTGGAGTAGTTTGGATATTGAATTTTTTTGTACGTGTACGTGTAGTCTGTTGCAGTCAGTAGGCTTGCAGCAGCTGCCTGAAAGACGCAAAATAGGTAAAACGGCGCAATCAAAGGCCCTAGGCCACCCGCCGGCATCCAGTCGCGCAGCAACAATAAGTCAAAACACAATGACGTCTGCACGGGACCTCATCAAAATTGACATAGTATGTATGACTTAGAATTGAAATCGTTGAGCTCGATTAATGGTTTCGCCAACCAATAGGAATGGGGAATGGAACGCTTGGTGCGGGCCCAGCAGGTCGTCGAACTGCGTCCGTACAACATTGAGTCTTGGTCGGTTATGTTGCGTGAGGCTCATTCCCGGCCCATCCACGAGGTGCGCAGCCTTTATGAGTCCCTTGTAAGCGTCTTTCCCACAACGGCTCGCTACTGGAAGCTCTACATTGAGATGGAGATGCGGAGCCGCTACTACGAGCGCGTGGAGAAGCTATTCCAGCGCTGTTTAGTGAAAATCCTCAATATTGATCTTTGGAAGTTGTATCTGACATATGTTAAAGATACCAAGTCTGGTCTCAGCACACACAAGTAAGTGGGAAGAGCCGATGATACCTCAACATCAACAATGCAATGACACCAATTATCTAAAATAGGGAAAAGATGGCACAAGCCTATGACTTTGCGCTGGAGAAGATTGGCATGGATTTGCACTCGTTCAGCATATGGCAGGATTACATTTATTTCCTGCGAGGAGTCGAGGCTGTGGGTAATTATGCAGAGAACCAAAAAATCACCGCTGTGCGCCGTGTCTACCAGAAGGCGGTTGTTACGCCCATCGTGGGCATTGAGCATCTGTGGAAGGACTATATATCTTTTGAGCAGAACATTAATCCCATCATATCCGAGAAGATGAGCCTGGAGCGTTCCAAGTAACTCCCCTTTGAGCCATTTGTTGTCCAAGTCATTTCACATTTACTCTCTTTTCCGCCCACCAGGGATTACATGAATGCACGCCGCGTAGCCAAGGAACTGGAGTATCAAACAAAGGGGCTCAACCGCAATTTGCCCGCCGTGCCCCCCACACTCACCAAAGAGGAGGTCAAACAGGTGGAGCTGTGGAAGCGCTTCATCACGTATGAGAAATCGAATCCACTGCGTACCGAGGACACCGCCCTGGTCACCCGTCGTGTCATGTTCGCCACTGAGCAGTGTCTTCTGGTGCTTACCCACCATCCGGCCGTGTGGCACCAGGCATCACAGTTCCTGGACACCAGCGCTCGCGTCCTCAGCGAGAAAGGCGTGCGTAGTAGTGTTTTCAGCCTGATCTGTATTCAAGCAAATAGAATAGAGTGGAATAGAGCACATGACTTGCCAAATCCAAAAGAAAATCACTACTATTGTTGAAGTTGTTCGGAAGTGTCGCCCCTTGGGTAATGTGGCACGCAATGGTGCTATTGCTGGTGCTGCTACTGGTGCAATGCACTCGCTTGCCGCGTTGCCCTTGGCCTTGTCGCACGCGTTTTAGTTGCCTACTCAATTACAATCACCAAATAAAAACATATATTAATTCTTTCTCTATTCCCTTGCAGGATGTACAGGCAGCAAAGATATTCGCTGACGAATGCGCTAACATCCTTGAGCGATCGATCAACGGCGTCCTGAACCGGAACGCTCTGCTTTACTTCGCCTACGCCGATTTCGAGGAGGGACGTCTGAAATACGAGAAGGTACACTCCATGTACAACAAGCTGATCATGCACCCAGACATCGACCCCACACTGGTAGGAGCTCTAAGATTCTAAGCAAGTAATTCTATGTAAGATTATTTTTAATTTGATCGTTACAGGTATATGTGCAGTATATGCAGTTCGCCCGTCGTGCTGAGGGCATTAAGTCTGCGAGAGGCATCTTTAAAAAAGCGCGTGAGGATGTGCGCTGCCGCTATCACATTTTCGTTGCCGCTGCGCTAATGGAGTACTACTGCTCCAAGGACAAAGAGATTGCTTTTCGTATATTTGAGCTTGGGCTGAAACGTTTCGGTGGCAGTCCCGACTACGTCATGTGCTACATCGACTACCTATCGCATCTCAACGAGGACAATAATACGCGTGTCCTCTTCGAGCGCGTGCTGAGCTCGGGCGGTCTGTCGCCCCACAAGAGCGTGGAGGTTTGGAACCGTTTCCTCGAGTTCGAGGCAAACATCGGAGATTTGTCTAGCATCGTCAAGGTGGAGCGTCGCCGCAGCGCCGTATTTGAGAATGTAAGTTTCCGCAATAATTAGTGCAACTGATCTTCAACTAAGACACCCTTTCTTGGGCAGCTTAAAGAATACGAGGGCAAGGAAACCGCCCAGCTGGTTGATCGATTTAAGTTCCTCGACCTGTTTCCCTGCACCCCCACCGAGCTAAAGTCTATAGGTTATGCTGAGGTGAGTTACATTCGAGTCCACAATCTCGTAACTCTATATATTTTCACTCAACTCTTTTTTTCAATTGCAGATTGGAGGGATCATTCTTAATAAGGTTGGTGGGGTTCAGAGCCAGAATAATGGTGACGCCGAGGCGGACAGCGAGGCGACTGCTCCGCTGCCGCGCCCCGACTTCAGACAGATGATACCATACAAGCCACGTCCGTGCGCCCATCCCGGCTCTCATCCGCTGGCAGGCGGTGTATTTCCCCAACCGCCAGCCTTGGCCTCACTCTGCGCAGGCCTGCCACCACCCAATTCCTTCCGTGGCCCCTTCGTTAGTGTCGAGCTGCTCTTCGATATATTTATGCGCCTCAATCTGCCCGACTGTAAGTGTTACTTTTCCGTTCCCTGACCATTTTTCCCTATAATGGGTTACCATTTACATCTCAATAGCGGCTCCCCTACCCAATGGCGACAATGAACTTTCGCTCAAGATCTTCGATCTGGCTAAATCGGTTCACTGGATTGTGGACACCAGCACATACACAGGGGTGCAGCATAGCGTAACGGCGATACCACCGCGTCGCCGTCGCCTTCTGCCAGGCGGCGATGATAGCGACGATGACTTACATCCTTCTGCCCCTCCCGCACACGACATTTACCGCCTACGCCAACTAAAGCGTTTCGCCAAATCAAATTAGGAACTGAAGTCCATCATGCTGCTGCTTCAGCTGCTCCTGTATTGTTTCGACATTTTTTAACTGCCGAACTTACAACAAATACAAACGAAAAGCGAGGAAAATACTTAAATTCATTTTATTCGTATTTATTGTTCCTTTTACAATGCTTGCCTCACATTTAATGCCGGTTACGCCAACATTGTAGTTTACAAAGTGAACGAGGTTCCCTTACAAGAAGAGTCACACCGGGAAGCCTGAAGACTGTTCTGTACATTTTTTACAGTATCACAGCAGCCGGCTGTGTGAAATGTTGTATAAATTAGGAAAGAACAACTATTAACCGAACTTTGGTCTTTATCTCTATCTCAATAATCTATATATCGATTGGAAATGGGTTTATTATTCTTATGATTGTAAAATAATGCACAGGGGATACACAGCTCATTACGAGTATTTCGTCTGCTCGAATTTGAATATTTAGTGTAACAAATACATTCATTAAAAGACAGCCTCGGTTCTTGTCCCTACTTTGATGTCACCTGTAAAATAAATTGTATACGTAAAAGACGCAAATTGCTAATTCAAAGCCAAGAAGAAAGCATATCCCCGGGAATGTCGTCATGCTAATATCCTCCATTCTGCTGCACATTCTGTTCCAATAAACATTAACATTGACGAGTATGAGAGAGAGATAGCGACTAAATAGCACCTTCGAGTTTTTGGATTTCACGAAATTCCTCGGACTCCAGAACTATGTACATATGTGTACCCCCCCACCGCGAAGAGCGAAAATCTTCGGCATCAACCATTCTGAATATATAGAATTCTGATCCACTCGTCTGATAAATAATCATGTCATAAAATACAACGTGGTTCGAGTTTCATTTTTGGATTTATAGAAACAGACCAGATCGGGTAATCACTTAACTGAGCCTTTAGGGTGTGCACACATTGGAACGATTGTATTTTCAAGATCTCAGAACAGAAAAGCCCTTGGCTGGCCGCCGTTAAGATAATCTACCTGGCTGGCTCTAGTAACTAGAGCTACTGAGTCTACTTACATCTAGCATAACCTCCCACTGCGGATTTATATGTGTACATATGTACAACAGACATACAGACAACAACATACATAATATACCTTTGTGCTTTTGAACACACAAAAAATGCAATACATCCAAAATTAATGTGTATTTACGTAATCAACAATAAGCGAGTAGAAAGTGATTTATATAATTATTATATAATATTCTAATTAAATGTCGAATTAAGCTAGGTGCAGAAAATATCTAACAGGCCAACTGGACTTTAATCATCAGTGATCGGCGTTTTTTGGTTACATCCCGAGGAGGAATAAACGACCACGTCGAAGGCGTAGGACTGATCCCTGTTCCCTGATTAATGCTCTGCCTGCACATTAGTAGGAACACAGCGTCGGCGGTGCTTGTACAGGCCGGCGTACTGCGCGAAACGGCGACCGCAGTTGGCGCAGGAATATCGCTTCTCGCTACGGTGGAGGTTAAGGTGGGAATAGTAAGCGCTGCCCACGACAAAGGCACGCGAGCAGTGGGGGCAGACCTTGTCGCGTATGTTGAGGTGGGCGCGAATATGCCGATCACGCTCGTGGGCAGTGTAGAACGCCTTGTCGCAGCGGTTGCAGGGGAAGTCGCGCTGGTTGCGGTGGCGCTTCACGTGCTGGTTAAGCTTGCTGGCGTTGACGAAGCCCCGGGCGCAGTGCTCGCACACATAAGGCAGCTCCTTGCTGTGACTGCGCTGGTGAACACGAAGGGCCGTAGAGTTGAAGAACTTCTTGGGACACTCTGGGCAAATGTGAGTGCGCTGGCCGAGATGCCGCCGCAGGTGAGCCAGCAGACTGTTGCGCAGCGAGAACTTTAGGCCGCAAATGTGGCAGACGTTGGCTAGGTCATTGGGGCTGTCCTTGTCTGTACGACGTCTGCGTCGCCTCACAAATCCGTATTCTCCGTTCAGGGCCTTTTCCTGATCCACGTGAACGTTTCGCTCGTGCTGCAAGAAGTCTGTGCGTCGCTTGAATGAGGCCGTGCAGCGGGGGCAAACGAAGGGCGACACGTGAAGCTCGAGGAAACGGAGCTGCTCGTAGTACTCGTACTCGGGATTCCAGGTTTCGGCTTTCTTGAGGGCCGCAATCCGCGCTTCCTTGCACTGCCGATAATGACAGCGGAACTCGATAAGCCGGCCCTTGAGTCTCTCCACCGTAATCTGCAGGTTGCTCTCCTCCTGCAGTCGCGTGCAGAGTGACTCCAGCTGTCGCTGGCGCTGCCGCCGCTTCGTGTAGTCCGGGTGATCGGTGCACCAGAGCTGGGCATAGCTTTGGTATACGGCAATGATCTTGAGGGTGCTATCCCGCTGGCTTAGGGTCTTTTGTATTTCAGAGCTGATGGGAAGCACGTCATTCAGGAAACGGAATTCTTCGTAAAAGTTCCACCTGGTGGTCTCCTCCCCGAGCTTAGTTTCCTGATCCCTCTGACGCTCCCGGCGGTAATACTTCGTGTAGTCCGTGATCTTTCTGTGCAGCATCTGCCAGCTGTATCTCTGGCCCGGGCCTGTGCACTCGCTCCTGTTTAACTCGTCTGTGACTCTCTGCCAAGCAAGGCGGCGGTGCTTGCGCGTGTGGTAGTCCAGGTGGTTGGGATCCCACAGGCACACATTCGCTCGGTACAGCTTGATCAGCTTAAGTGCCTGCTGCCGACTCATTCGGACGGCCGAGTTCTCTTTTTGCTCCAACTCGGATGGCGCCACGGATGGCAAAGCTTCCAGTTCGGAGGCAGAGCAGGTCTCAGACAGACTGGATATAATGATCCTTTCCTGCTCACGGTCAGGCGTAGAACATACTGTTTCCTCCTCGATAGATGTAGACTCATCCGCCTGCGCCTCCCGGAGATTCCCCACAAGTTCGATCATCTGAGGAATATTTTCTAGCTTTAGGATATCTTTATTCTCCTGCACTTGTGGGGTGACTGGCGGCTGCTGCATGTTTTTCGTCGGCAGAAGGTCCTCTACTGGGAGGAGATTCTCTGCCTGCGGAAAGTTCTGTTCGACCTGACGCGGGTACTCCTCGTGCTGAAGATCTTGTAGAATATGGAAGTCCACATCTTGTTCCCTCCCCTGGACAGGTTCCGACTGCTCCACCTTCTCATTCTCCCCCTCTGCAGCTTCTTTCTCTGAGCCAAAATCCATTCCCATCTGTATATGGCAGTTGCTTTGCACGTGCGCCTGGTGACTCGCCAAATTCTCAAAGATCTTGCCGCAGACAGCGCACACATATGGATCGATGTGTTTATGAAGGAACTCCATCTCCTCGTAGTGCTCGAAGCCGGCGACAAACTCAGATTGCTTGCCCTCTACCACGCAGTGTAGGTAGCGGATCTTCTCCAGGCGATATCGTTTCCGCAGAGACTGCAACCGCCGCTTAATAACCAACGAGGACAGATTTATACCAGACAGGCGCAGGGCCAGCTGCAGATCGCGGAGCGCCTCATGGCGCCCTCTCACGATGTCCGCACATCGCAGTCGCTTGTGGGCATTGTGCCAGAATATCGGGTAATGCTCATAGAGCTCGATCAGCTTGCGGTTCTCACGAACGAAGTGCTGCTGCCGCTTGAGCAGTGCCTGTTGCTCGCAGAGGAAGCCCAGCTGGTCGTAATGGACAAACTTGACAGCTTCGTCGAGCTCACCGTCGGCTTCAAGGCGCTCGCGCTGCTTGATGAAGCGCTGGCATAGCGTGGAGACACGTATGCGCACGTCGGTGACAGTGAAGCGGCGCCCACAGTGCACGCTCCAGGCGTCCGTTATACGACGCCAGGACTTGCGACACAGGTCCGTATCGTGGAACTGCGAGTGCGATTGGTTCCAGAGACGAGGCTCCGCGCGGTACAGCTCGATAAGCTGGTTCACATGCTGAGTAGTCAGCCGATGGCCTTCCGGCACGGGTGCGGGAGCGGGATTCTGTTGTCATGGGAAAAGTAACACTCTAATCAGATTGTATTCTGGTCGCATTCTGCAATTTTAACTCACCTCAAAGGCAAATTTCACTTGCTCACTGACAACGACTGGTTCTACTGCTGCCTCTACCACTGGCTGATCCGTGGCATTCAGCTTCTGAACCAGCTGCTGCTTTAACTCATTGTCTGCCTCGCTGGTACGCTGCTCTGCCAGCACCTCCTGCATCAGCTCATCTACGGAGGCTGCAGGAACACCTGAATCTGCATATGCAGTTGCCTCGTCATCCGTGGAAGTTTCTGCCGCCTCGCCCCCCCAGCCAGAGTGCCAGATCTCCATATGAGAGGTGAACTCGCTTAGTGTGCAAAGGGGCCGCTCCTCGCAGATGGCACACTCGATGGCATACAGCTCCCCAGCACAGTTCCAGGTGTAAACGGTGCCGCATATCTGACGCATTCTCCTGCGCTCAGAGTCGGACAGCCCTTTATTAGCTCGGGCTCAGCGCAGGTTTCACTTTTTAATCTGTATCACCGGGCCACCTCGAGCCGCCGAGTGTAGTCCTAAAATGTCTTCGACCTAAGCTGTGACTGGGACAGCGAATGTAAGGTAAATTTAATTCCTAAATCTCTCCGACTGTAGACGTGATTTGGACAGCGAATGCGCAGCGTCTTTCTCGGTATTCTGACGTTGTGAAAATTCCAAAGCCGCCATCGGGCCAACAAACTCGCTCTTGGCTGGCTTAAACATGGCACATAAACACGCACGGGCACACACATACTTACGGCCACACCAACACCACTTCCAGCCTCGGAATCTTGTTTAAGCCGTTCTTTGTCGGCCAGCGGCTTCATCTTGGGTCTCTGCAATACCCTGCTTCGTTGCCATAATAAATTGATTGTCTGTGTGCGTGAATGTGTCTGTGCACAGTCGGACTTAGTTGCTTCAAAACAGTACTTCTATATCCCTCCCTTTTCCACTAAGCATGAATACTCTATACGTGATGTTTTCGCTTCAAATTTACAGGTGGTGGAACACGCTGGAATCAGTCCTTTTTGTTCTAGGTAGGAACGGTTCCTTTGGAACGCATGTAGAAGTGGTGGTGGTTGTAATTTCAAGTATGAAATAAAGTGGGAATGAGATTCATCTAAGTCATCAACATGAAGTAACCATGAAGAAATTATAGAAGGAGGTCTCGTCGGCAAAATAAGGAAAACGCAACAATGCTGTCACTAAGTGCGAGTGAAAGGGCTCTGCGCTATCAGTATGAGTGAAACGACAATGGAGTGTGCTGATTAACCAAGCACAAGCACCGAGATCAAAGGGAAGTGACAAGAGCAACGCTGCCGACGACGAGACCTCCTTCTATACATGAAGCAAGTGCTGGTAGTTTTAATTTCAACTTCGTGAAACGCTCGGGTTTCGCCTACAGTGTAGTTTCCGAGAGATGCATTACAGAACACATCTTTGGTATGCATCTAGATTCGTTCCTTGGGAATGTACGGAGCATGCACATAACATCGTGCCACAGGAACCTATTAAGAACCGTTCCGGAAATGTTCAATGGAATCATTATGGTCTTATTTAATGAAATGTTGTAAAGCGTAAGAAGCGTCTCACACGTCCCTTCTCGTTTTTGAACTGGAGCTGTACTAATGGTCTTATTTAATGGAAATGTGAAAAGGGTGTATTTATGTATATTTTGAGTAACAATTGGCATCCATGTGTTATTCCATTTGCTCATACTTCGAAGTCAAACTTGACCAATCCCAAAAAACAACACAAAAATTAATCTTTTTTTGATCAAATCTGGCTCATTTAAAACTGCAGCCAGATGAAAATTTCACTACGGTTAGTAAACTTGAGTTCCATGAAGCCTGTGTGACAAAATTTGTATAAAAAGAATACGGAAGCCCAAAATTGTATCGAGGGAGCTATTGCAACCGGTACTGATTGTGGAGGGATTCAATTTAAATTCGTGGGACACCAACACCTTGGCGGAAAGATTGTTTTTAGTGTTTTTAGTCATCATACTAAGACTAAATATAGCAAACAAAAATTTGCATTGTACATGTTACCTTTAATAGTTTAATTTCACTTAAAGAATTGGACGGCTGTGCGAATAATTTTTGTGCGAAAAAAAAGGTAATTTTTGCTTCAGTTAAGTTTTATAAGGATACTATAGAAGATATTAAACATATAGTAAATATGTTGATCTTTGATACAAAATTAACTTTTACTGTTTACGTTGACCGTAGGCCAATTTTAGGTGTTCAAACTAGGGTGATGATGGTGTACGAATATGTGTCCTTACTGTAAGTATGGGCATGAAAAATGTAAATAAATCGTTATTTATTGTTTCTTTCATATTTTTTAGATGCAGTCAAACTGCATTAACATTCTGCTAATACTGCGGTAAAATATTATAAGAAACTTCACTTCTTAGTCTGTCCCTTTTTTTTCAGATGAACAGATCTGTTTGATCATTAGCGTCTTCAAACGCAAGTGATAGAACAAAGGAGAACAAGAAACAGCCGCGCGCAATTTTGCCAATTCCCATTTTTATTTTCGTCTGCGCTTTCCCCTAAAACGTTTTCGATGCGTGAATTTCTGCCTTCCAAAATCATTAAAGAAGAAAAGGTATGTAGTATGCTGTGGTATGGAAATAGTAGTATAATAGTATTAAAAAGTGTTTTGCATATACTGAAGGTACACTGTACCACTAAAATAAGCATAAATATAGCCACTTGTGATTGGCCACTGGCGGGCGAAATCTGGCAGACGACATCTGCCAGATGACGTGATTGCCCGCGGGCCGGCAGAATCTGGCAGACGACATCTGGCAATCGGCATCTGCGAGTGCTTTGAGCTCTCGATCAGGCAGTCTTAGTCTTGTACTCGATCATGCTGGTTGTGCCGATCTCTCAATATTTTTTCATAGAAAAACTACAAATAAAATAATTAACGAGAAGGGACGTGTGAGACGCTTCTTACGCGTCACAACTTTTATACCCGGCACTCAGGACTACATCTAGATGTAGAAGACATCGCCAACCACTAGATATCGTTCACATTACAGAACACGTAGTAAGAGCCTACTAAATAAAATGCATCAAACAAATTGGATCAGTTAATATTTTCCAATTTATGATATATTTAAAACAGCAATAAAATTGGTACATTCTTGGACCGATAGGTTTCACAGCAAATTTTTCGAAAGTGGCGCCATCTATGAAAATTTCTTGTACGCAACTTTAATGGTCCAATGGTCTGCACATTCTGTGCAATAATGACAGGTAGGTTTCACAGCAAATATTTCGAAAGTGGCGCCATCTATGAAAATGTCTTTTACGCAACTTTGATGGTCACTCTTTTTTTAATACAGAGCGTTAAAAACCGAGTCTTGGTTAAAAGTCGGAAGAGTCAACGCCAGGGGGAGGGCAGAGGCAGGGCCGAGTGAAGCAGAAGCAGAGTGTGAATGAGATAATGTAAAAAGAGCAACAAAAGCTGTGGGACAGGGTGGGTTTAGCCACTGGAAATTAATTTCTCCATTGTGGCTATAATGATCTGATCAATCCCAATTTGGTGATCTGATAGATATGGCCATTTCCTACGGAATGGCGTTTTTAGTTTTCTTTTATCTTCAAAACTGTAGAATTGGGAGGTTTTCGCACTTTTTCGGGGGCGTAAGGGGGCGTGGTTCATTTTTGAAATACACTTGTTTCAGTGTGAGCATACAGCAGTCCGGAGCCAAAATTTGGTGGCTCTAGCTCTTATAGTCTCTGAGAATTAGCCGACAAACAAGACGGACAGACGGACGGACGGACAGACGGACAGACAGACATGGCTCTATCGACTCGGCTATTGATGCTGATCAAGAATATATATACTTTATGGGGTCGGAAACGCTTCCTTCTGTGCGTTACATACAACCGTTATTCCCCACAAATACAATAAACCCTATTTACTCTTTGAGTACCGGGTATAAAAATGATATTTAAGAAAGAGAAGGTATATTTTATTTTAAAATAGAAAGACATCCGCGGGCGAATATTCAGAGAGAGACACGAGCTGTCGAATTTCGTGCTGGCTGGTTTGGTGTTTGCTGTTTATTGTAGTTAACGCTTATCTATTAACTATTTTATAATTTATATTTTTGATTAAGTGTTTGTGGAATAAATTATGTACACAAAAAAAAAAATAGGTACGAGGTGGGTCTATGCAGATTTTAGTGCCATGATTGGGCAATTTTGTAGTCAGTTGTCCAAATCTCGATTTTCCGATGGGAGTCGGCGGAAAATGTTCAAGTGTTAGTGTGTGTGTACATATGTAAAGCAAAATGCTTGTTCACACCGTGATTCTGAATAATCTAATGGAAAATATTTACAACAAAAACTGCAAGCACGTGGGGAACATAACCTCTACGCCAGGTAAGTATTGGAGCAAAGCTGTAACAAGTTACATATTACGACGTGGCGATTTCCCCCTTGTAAAGGCGGGTGGCCAAATAATTCCCCTCTACCTAAGGGTAGAGCGGTAACTTAAAACCTCAAAAAAAAAAAAAAAAAAAAAAATATTTACAACGCAAAGTCAATTGCCGTAATTCATTATTTGTATACATATTCAGTTGTTTATATCCGTTACCCCTTTCATCCTAAATTATATAAAGCATATAACGATCACACAAAAAAAAATGTATTTTTATATTGAGAGGCAAGCTTCTTCATTAAGTCTTTAGGGTTTTGATTTTGAAGGGTATGTGAGCTCAGAATAAAAAAAATGCAAAAGGTTTAAAGCGCCAACAATTAAAGCGCACATGAAGTCGAGAACATAACCGACGACGAGAACAGAAATTGGAAAGATGTATGTACATACATATGTACATATATATACACATGTATATGAATATATACATATATATGTATATATTTATATTTATCTGAAAAGATTTCTCTGTAAAAGATGGATTTGGTAACAATGTTGATAAGACGGCAGCAATAATAATAATGCATATGAATAAAGCACAATGCATTGAATAAAGCAGTATAAAATCTGCATTTAAAACAATTACAGCATTCAAATACAATAACAACTTTTATTGGTATATTTATTTTTTCCAACCCCCAAGGGTCCGGCCACCAATCTCCACCCCTCATTCTGCACATGTTGCGGTAGGTCAGGTTCATACGCCAAGCCCCGAAAACAAAATCAAATCATCAAAACGAATTTTCGTTCCATCGCACTTCAGAAAGTCAGTGCACCAACACATACATTCCTTGCAGTGTCCGTGTGAATCAAGACAAAGCCGGTTTGGAGCGCTAAAAAATCATTGGCTACACGCACTTACTCAGATGTAGCTGGGACTTCTGGCTGCGTGCTCTGCACGCACTAATACAAATGTAGCTGGGACTTCTAGCTGCGTGTTCTACACGCACTAATACTTGTTGCTGCGACGTTGGCAGAGGCCTGGGACTTCCCGACGCACATTCTGCGGTGACGTTTCGCTTGGCTCAAATTGAGAGTCTACTATACTATTTGGTTAGTGACAAGGTCATGCCAAGGGACGATGGCCAATTTTTGGACTCGAAACTATCTAATTTTGAGTAGGAAGGGTGCTTGGAGGTGCCGTTTTACAACTTTGCCATGGGTGCAAATATTCCTTGGCACGGCCTTGCTGCTCCACCAATCAAAGAAGGCTGCAGATGTTATTACCAAACATATGCTAATTCTATGTCATACTTTTAAACTGCGGAAAATGCAAAGGGTATCGTTTCAAGGGTTCCCATAAATGTACACATATTTATATGATTTATACTTATGTACTATGCTTGACACAACAAAAAGCCCTCTAGCAAAATTAGAAGATTTCTTAAATATCCGGAGTATTGAGCTATTTTACTTCGCGAGTTTGTGCGAATTCTTTCCGATATGTCAGCTATCGATATAATCAAAAGCGATCCATCCCATATATAGTCAGTGGAGCATAATCAACTTACGCTCCGTTTCTCAAAATCTGTAAGCAGCCACATTAAAACTTATCGTGGGCGTTCACTAGAACTATAGCAGGAGATCTATGATATATATATAATAAATCGATATCAATCTACGCATTTGATGTGATTTAAAAATATTTGCGATAAGTGACAGATACGCAAGTATCGTCCATCCCTATTGGAAACCTGTGACTGTGATGAGCAGGGCTACAGCTCTACCTGGAGCACAATAAACCAACAACAACGCAATGGGTTTTCCGCGCATTCTCAGCAAGAATAACAAGATCTACACAAAACTGGGTGAGTTCTGTCTCTCTGGGGATAGCTTCTGGATAGTCTGCCACACATGCCAGGAGGAACTACAGACGCAAGATCAGTTCTGGAAGCACATACAGGACGAACATAATTTTCTCCACGGCGTTGCTAAGGTAGGCTGATGGTTGAACACCCAAAGGCGTCTATTAATAATTTAATACATCTCGGCCCGCTCCAGGAACATAGTCGAACATCCAGCTACTGCTTGACGGATGTGGAGGCGGCAGCAGCAACTTCTGGCGCGACGACATCCCAGGGCGCAGGTAGTGTGACTTCTGTGACCGTTCCCTTGGCCCTCTACCACTGCTCTACCAAGTACTCTGAGGACGACCAGCGGGAAATTGACATTCACGAAGCACACCAACAGCAACAGCAACTACAACAACAGCGGGATGTGGCCAAGGAGCTGGCCGAGCTGCATGCGAATGCTGTAGCGGCCGCTGCTGCAGCCGCTGTCGCTGCGAATGAAAGCAGTACTCGTAGCAGCAGCGGCATAGACATAAAGATTGAACCTCCATGCCTTACTCTGCCGCCGGAGATGCAAGCAGCCGCAGCGGCGGCAACTGCCAATGCCACCATCTACCACTTGCCACAGTTGGTGGTACCACCGCCCGTGCCTGCGACGGGCTTCGTCGGCGCCAGTGTTAGCACATCTACCACAGTCAGCACCACCCCGCCAAATGTGACGGGCAGCCATTCGGTCATGCAGCAGCAACAGGCAGGTGTACTGACTGGTAGTGGCCTCTCCACGCTCAGCATGTCAGTAGGACCTTCAACTGCGATGGCAGCGGCCCTGCTATCCACCCAAGAGCTACCCAAGGACTCGAACAGCACCACGGCCAGCGCTGGGAGCGCGGTCTCCTCGGACGACGGCGAGCGCTGGTACATCTGCGACTATGAGACATGCGGTCTGAAGTTCAAATACAAGTCACGCATGGAACTGCACAGGGTGGTGCATAGCAAGGAGCGCCGCTTCAATTGCGAGCTATGCAGTGCCTCCTTTAAGCAGTCATGCAACTTGTCCACGCATCGTAAGAAAAAGCACGCGCTTCGTGGTATCAAGAGCGAAATCCTTCCGCAGCGGTTCTAGACGTGGTACATGCATCCTTTCTCCCTGCACACACTTGTTTAAAACCCTGCAAATAATTTCAGGATCAATCCGACTAGATGCTACTTTCTCGTTCCCCTTCCTGGTTTAAGTTAAAATGCTATACTACACTTAAAAAGCAAATTAAAAATACATTTATTTAATTAAGGCTTAGGTCCCTGCTTACCGTTTAGCCATTGTACATGTAGTGTTAATGTTCTGCGAGGTTATGTTAACCCCCCGATGATCCGGCAGTTCTCACCAGCGTTTAATTACGATCTAGATATATGTACATACATACATATATGCAGTATTTTATATAGTGGGCAAAATATTGCAGTTACAGTTACAGTTTAGTGTTTAAGCCCTAAGTTACAAATAGGTAATTCCACAAAACAAAACAACAATTCCGTTTCGAGGCCGTTAGTCAGTTTTTTCGATTATTCGATCTTGCAGTGGCAGTGCTGTATATGCGCGGCCAGTCGACTAGTCAGCAATATAATAAGTTAAATTCAAACCATCGAATTCAAAAGAAAAATATATAACTTACTTTCAAATCTGTTCAAAACGAAGCGTTATAACTTCTGGGAAGAAGCGTAATATCGGAAAGCTTACAGAATATTTGTATCCCTTTAAGCGTGACAAGACCCGAAGATTAGCTTTTAAAGCCGCAGCGGTATGGGATCCTGCAGAAGCGATATACATAAGGCATGTTGACATATGTATTTATCTCAGCACACATGCACATTACTACATTTGTATGTATGTATGTAAATATATTTTAATAGCGGAGATATGTATATATGTACATAAGTCGCTTAATTGCTGGCGGAGATATGTTGTCCTTAATCACAGCAATATCTATTCAGGAATAAATAATTGCATTCGTCAAATGGACAATATTCTTTAAGCTGTTTTCATTTTGATCAGAAAGATCGAAAAGAGTTCGAAATGTTCATCCGGAATTCATTCACTCGGCTTTGAATGATTCAGAAACGTTAAAGAGGAATGAGCATGGCTGTGATTTTATGACCACTATAGACCATCAAATTATATTACAAATGGTTTTGACATATATTTAATCTTATTCCGAAAAACAATTTTTCTTCTAAATTTTCAATATCTAATTCTGTTTTTAGGTTTTTAGCTTTTCAGCCTTTAGCTTTTGTGTATCGATGAGGTCTGTCCAAACATTTAAATGATTTAAGTGCGAAAACTCGAACTTCTCCAAAAATGTGTAATATGTATTTTGAAAACGAACCATGAGCAAACAAGATTTATAGTCAATTAATTTTCGCACCTTAAGGAAGACATGAAACGCAAAACTTTTCATACCCGGTACTCGAAGAGTAAATAGGCTATATTGTATTTGTGGGGAAAAGTTTATGTATATATGTAACGCACAGAAGGAAACGTTTTTGAACCCACAGATTACATATATGTATACATACATATATTCTTGATCAGCATCAAACGCGGAGTGTATGTCTGTCTGTCCGTCCGTCCGTCCGTCTGTCCGTCCGTCCGTCCGTCCGTCCGTCCGGTATCCTTCCAAAGCGCCAGGTATCTACCACTTGCTCGTGCGGACAGATGAAGATGAGATGTTCCAGGGTTTCAGTGATACCAGTCTCATCGCATTTCCTGCAGCTGTCTCGGCTGGTGATGCCTAGTTTGGTAGCATGCGTCGCAGCCAGACAGGGGCCTGTGAGGATTCCCTCCAGTAGTCTACAGTCCTTCCTCGGTAGGCTCAGTAGGGAACGGATAAGTTGACCAATACGTTATTTGCACATGGTTTTCCTGTTTTGCAGGTGGTACTGCTCCATCTGTTCCTGCTCTGTAGTCTGGCCTGCTTTTCTAGGTCGCTTTTTAACGCTCTAAGAGAGAGCGACACGCTCTCAAATCTGTCATTCCGCAGCCCGACGCCTTCCTCAGTGTCTTCCTCGGAATCTAGTGCCTCCCTGCTCGCCAAGACGCTTCTGGAATAGACGATTGTACGGACCTTATCGCCGTTTGGCTGTCCACGAATCGCATCGTGTAGTCCTACTATGTGCTGGGCGACCTCTGCTGCTTTCTTAATGGTACCTTATATGACCGCCTTTTTCAGGGTTTGTACAATATTTATTTCAATTAACAATTATCTGATAAATAGGGATCAGCAATAAATATATATTCAATATAAGTACAGGAGAAGAAGGAAAGATACAATTTGAAAGTTTGCTCAACTAAGGTAATGGCAAATGTTAAATAAAAATTGTTCAATAAGAATTGTTCATTAAATGTGTTTGTGGGGGAAGGTTCTTGCCAGTAAATTCCGTGCTTTAGTCTTCCTTCGAATTTCTTCTGGTAGTCGGGGGAAATTAGCGTCTTCGACCAAGTAAAAGAGCGCGCGTGCGTATAGGTTCCGTTTATTAGTGACACTGTTTTTCTATTCTAAGCTTAATTCTCACTCTAGTTGGGCGCGCAGGCCTCTGCTCAGCTCAGAGCTTTCGGGTTGTAGGTAAGTTTTGTTTTTGTTGTGTTTGTTGAAATGATAGGGCGCATGGTGCATGCTTTTCGGCATGAACATCCTCCCCTCCTTGAAATATAATTGCAACAAGAAGAAGGCGCCCATTAACGTGGAAGGACATTCGTCTCTCCGTTATGCCGTGTTGCATGTTCCGGAGAGGGTCCATCCGAACACCGTGTTCTGGGCCACAGGAAAGCCTTCAGTGCTTGGGATCATCTGCCCCCAGTACCAATGACACGGTGCTCAGCCGATGAAAGTTCTCATCCGCCAAGTGCATGTTAGCGAAATGGTCCTTGACGTGGTCGCCGAAGCGTCTCGCCGGTGTCCTTATCAGGTGTTGAGGTCACACAGACAGCACAACCTCCAGCTTGACATCGCTAGTTGTCCTTGATTGGATGAAGGCGGTGCAAGCACCTTTGGCTCCAACGATAGTGACGGAAAGCCCAAAAGTCGTTGCGTTGAGAGTCTTTCCTTGATGGAAGAGAGCGTGACTTCGGACGTGAAGTCTGGCGTGATCCGCCCAGGTGGAGGAGTGTATGATGGCCTTTTCTACACACCCGGCATCTGTCGCCGCTTCGGCATGAGCGCCCGGAGTGCTGGTAAGCCAGGCAATTGTGGCAGTACTTATTAATCAGCATTGCCCGTAGACGTTTCTCCGCGGTCAGCTTCAGGAACCGTTGGCACTTCCTTAGCGCGTGGACTCCTCGGCAGACCCGACAGCGGAAGCTGTTGGATCCCCTCGTCTGAATGCGCTGTACTGGACGTTGGCGAGGTGTCATGCTTGAAAGAGAGATCGTGGAATATTAGCGGATGGATCATTTTCAAGAAACAACATCAAACATATTGGTTAGTTGGATACTGGGACGTGGACAGCACTGTCTACCGGAAGAAGAATGAGTTTTTCTACTGGCCGCTTAATGGTGCCGCAGACAGTTAAAACGCCTACACCCGGACCATGCCATCGACCCCTGGATACGTTCGCTCAATTCTTCCTAGGCGCCATTCATTCAACCTACCCCTCGGTTGTCTTCCTTGATGACAACCATGTCGCCTGCCTAAAGATTTCTTGTTGGGAGTTGCCACTTCTTTCTTTTGTGTAATCCATCCATTGTCCATCTATTGATTATTGACCCTGCTTCCTCTTTTATTTGAGGGCCTGGACTGAGGCACTAACCAAATAGGAATGTCCTGGAGGACCGGCTTTGCATTCGAAGTCCACTTGCTCAGCGGAAAACCCGCACTGTCAAGTGCAGAGCGAAGCTCCTTTATAGATGCGATTGCACCTTATATTGTGTGGGCACCCGCAAGCGCATCGTCGACATACATCGAATTGGATATGATGTCGCTAGTCAGTGGGAATCGCTATAGGACTTCTTGCGCAAGTTCCTTTAGCAAACGAATGGCCTAGAATGGAGCGCAGTTTACCTCGAACATAACAGTGGTAAGCTCGAAATCACAGAGCTCGCCATTTATATTAATAGGCCGAATTCGTTGGAATCTTGTAAGCGAAGAAGGGTCGAGGCTAATTTTCCGATACATTTGTGTGATGTCAGCACTAAAGACATATCGGAAGAACCGCCATTTCAGTATCTGAATGGTCAGATCGGCTTGGAGAACAGGTCCTGGATGGAGAATATCGTTTAAGCTGTTGCCGTTCGAGGACTTACTGGAGGCGTTAAAGACTACCCGCAATTTTGTAGTGGTGCTGTCCGGCTCTTGGGCAGCGTGATGGGGCAGATAGAAGTTATCGGAATCGTTGTTTGGTGGCACTTGGCGAATATGACCTAAGTCTAGGTACTCTTGGAGGACTCGCAGTACGAGCTCTTTCAACGGAACGTTTCGTTTCAACCGACTTTCGTTTTTGAGGAACTGAGCTAGCGCGATTGATCTTGAATGCCCTAAGTTTATGCATTTGGGATACCAAAAGGGCAACGACACCGTATATCTGCCACTTGCATCTCTACGGGTGGTTCGAACAAAATTGTCCTCGCAGAGGGACTCCGAAGAATATTCAACCCGACTGGCTGGAAGATCCTCCACCTCCCTAAACAATGTTCTGCGCTGACATTTATCCTTGTAGCAAATGAGGAAATTGAGGTGTGAGTTCACTCAGCTACTGGTCCGGTAAGGATCCATCCAAAAATGGTTTCTTGACTGAGTAGTGATCCGCAAATGTTGTGTTGAGAGCCGCCAAAATGGATGGAAGGATATCTGCACCTAGGAGCACATCTATCTGCGAGCTTTTGTGGAAAGAAGGGTCAGCCAACGGAAGATTTGGCAGGTGTTTTATGAAACCTTGCGAAATTGGATACGATGGTAAGTCGCCTGCCACATTTGGAAGTACGAATGCCGAGCTTTTTACATGAACCCTCGGTTTGGATGGGAAGGCGATTTGGAAGTGGCATATCTTTTGAGGCCTGGCGGCGATAGCTTGGTTCAAGCCCGCAACTTTAACTTGAACTGGTTGGAACGGAAGTTTGATGATTCTGAAGAGGCCTCTGACCCAGAATCGATCGACGCACGAGCTTTATAATTAGTGCCCAAGTGGCACACGTTTATTCTTCTGTGTGTTTTCTGTGTTTTGCTTTCTGTGTTTGCTGTGTAATAACTTTGGACATTGGACCCGTGCATTGGACCCGTCCTCCAAAAAGGAGGATGAAGTGGACTGTATGTCTTGAATTTGGTTTAATTTGGGAGGAACTGCTGTAGAGGGATCTGGAGGAGGGCTGCCACGGTGCAGAAGCGTGTGGTGGCGACGTTTGCACGTGTAGCAATTATGCTGGCTTGTGCACTCTTTTATTTGGTGCCCTCTTGCAAAACAGTTCATGCATATCTTTTTCAGTTTAATGTAGTTGGCTCGATCATCAGCTTTCATTTGGAGAATTGGCATACCCGGTGGTACGCGCGCTCTTTCACATGGTCGAAACCGCGAATTTCCCCCGACTACCACAAGAAATTCGAAGGAAGACTAAAGCACGGAATTTACTGGCAAGAACCTCCCCCGCAAACATTGGTAATTATAATTGTTGCATAAAACCCGGAAGGGTGCATTCTGGGCGTAA